CTGCACCGAGCTGGTTCAAGATGCTGGGCAGCATTTCTGTCAGCTGTTTCGTCTCAGCATGGCCTGTAATGGTGAAAGTGTTTGCTGCCAGAGATGCCTGAACTTTTGGGTTGTTGAAGTGGATCACTGTTCCTTGGTTTGTAAACATATTCACCTATAAAGAAAAAATTTAAATTAGCAATGCCCACCAAAGTTTCCTTTAAAACTGTTGTTTTATTAAACAAGCACTGACATCTAGATAACTAATATAGTATTTCATTTTGAAGTACAAGTGAAATTCTGCCTGGAAGGGAATGTGCAAGTAGCTTTCAGATTAGCAATCTCTGATACCCCTTAACAGGGTAGAAATACAACTTAAGAACTTTAAACTCCACTATGATATGACTAAGAGTTAAAAAAACAAAAAGCATAAACATTAAAATTGTTGTAGTTGCCTGCCTCGCAAGCTCAAGGTCCTGAATTCGATCCCCGGTACCACCAGCCCCCCTCCCCCAAATTGTTCTAGCTAAATCTTATTAAAAAAAAAAATTGACACTTACCTCTTCAATACCAGAGATATTGTTTACCCCTAACTTCTTTAATGAGAACTGAAGTTTTTTATCATCTGCTGTAGCTGTTCTATGAACCACCTTCTTCTTCCTGCGAGCAGTTCCCTAATGTGAGAAGGAAAAGACAAATGGCATACTTAGGCCACAGCAAATATTTTCAAAATGGGAACAGTTCCTAATTTTTTCTGATCCTTAGTTCTCTGTAATAAAATTATTGTAACCACAAACTGTGTAGCTGAGTAGGCAGACTAAGGTAAAGATGGACACTAAAATGGAAAGGAAAGGAATATATAAAAATCCTTCATAACTTCTAGTTTTGTCAGATATTTAAAAAAGCGATCAGAGGTGGTATGTGTCAGCCTAACTTAAGCTTCATTAAGCAAAGTTCCATACCTAGAACTAACCTTTTGTTTTATATTAAAGAAAAATCAACATCCAAAATAGTATTTGCAAGCAAGACGGAATATGAAACAATCCAATGAAATTGTACACAGGCTTGTAAACCACTACAAGTAAAAACAAGAATTTCTTATCTTAACCTACAAGGCACCTAATATGGTCAGCCTTGCCCCTAACATGGGGCTCTTGACCATATCACTTCAACCAAATAAACCTCTGCTATTCCTGAAACAGGCTGACCAGACTATCACCAATGTAAAACAGCAACTCCCTCATCATTGTCTGTCCTGGTT